AAGTGTGAATTGTGCACAAGTGCAGAAGGTTTTATTAGCACACTGCGTGAGGGAAGCTGTTAGTTTGCGGACAGGTGTATGACATATTCGCACCAATGTGCTAATTGTTCGTAATGATCGTAAGTGGGAGTCGCGAATTTTTGATTATTCATTGCAGCCACAAAATCGTTTGTGTGTAATGTGTTAAAACTATAAAAGAGTTTGATGAAAATGTTGTAAATCAATTTGGAAGTGAAGTAATAACGGCGCTTAGTGCTTTTGTTTTGAGTTGAGAAAATAAGCTAATTTCTTCGTGAAAGCTCATATTCTTTGCGAAAGTTTACATTTAAGGTCGAAACATATATAATATAATAATGAAAGCTCATATTTATAGTGAAAGCTCATATTTTGCGAAATTTAATTTTTTTATAATACGAGCTGAAATTTTTGGTTAAAGCTCATATTCTTTGTGAAAATTCACATTTAAGGTCGAAACATAAATAATAGTGAAAGCTCATATTTATAGTTAAAGCTCACATATTTACAGAATACTACATTTTTAAAGAAAGCTCACATTTTTAGTGAAGCTTGCACTTATAGCGAAAACTCAAATTTATAGTGAAAGAACACGTTTATAGTGAAAGCTCAAATTTATAGTTAAAGTTTATTTTTATAGTGAAAGCTTACTTTTAACGCGCAGGCTCATTTTAAAAGTAAAGACTCAAATTTATTTTGAAGTCTTCAGCGATTATTAATAAGAAAAGTGGATTTTTTTAGTGAAAGCTTTTGAAAATCATAATAAAAATATTAACTAGAGGATAGAAAAAGTTTGAAAACATGAAAATTTGATGCCGTAAAATGTAAAATGTAAATGAAAGCTTTTGAAAATCATAATAAAAATATTAACTAGAGGATAGAAAAAGTTTGAAAACATGAAAATTTGGTGCCGTAAAATGTAAAATGTAAATGAAAGCTTTTGAAAATCATAATAAAAATATTAACTAGAGGATAGAAAAAGTTTGAAAACATGAAAATTTGGTGCCGTAAAATGTATGCTTTAAAATATGAAATAATGAAAACTCTAAACTTTGGTATCTTAATTTTTGTGCTTTAAAAACTAAAATAATGAAAGCTTTAAAATAGAGCTTTCGTTTAATTTATGCCTGTGGAAAACTCATTATTACAAAATTTTTAAAATTTATAAACACGTATTCCACGCAGGTGAGTACCTTTTTCTTCATCCCCTTACACCGGGTCAGCTTTTAGCGCCACTATTCGTCACTAAAAGTATATACTCATCAACCTAACTTCGCAACAGCTGAGTGAGTCACACAAAAACTGTCACTCATGCTACTTACACATTAATTAAGTAATCCACAACAGCTTATGACGGATACAAATTGTGTATTTGATAAGCAAATGTTGGAGAAAATGAAAAAAAAAACGCACTGAGACGGGCGCGCGAAAGGGTCCACTGGACTGGTGAGTGAATTTGTGAATGGCAAAAGTATTGACGACTGAGTTCTTTTATAGGTTTTTTTTTTTTGCCATCACTATATTGATCAACTACAAACAGGCTGTTGATCATTTTCGCAAATACACTACTTAGAGTGACCGACAGCGGACAATGCGTCAAGCGACGTGGGTATTTATGTTGCTGTCAAAAAGATGACATATTACAATATGACAAGTTGTCACACAAACAGTTAAATAAAAAACAGACAGACAGACAGGCATGCAATTTGTATTTATTTGTATAAATGTTTGTTTATGTTATATTTACGCTGAAGGGGGTTACTATGATGATATGGCGTTGAGAACGGAGGATCTGATGTATGATAGACAATATAAATTAGCACTTATGTATGTATACATATATAAATTGACAATTAAATGACAGGAAGAGAAATGCCATTGGAGAGTCAAGAGCGCAGAGCGCAGATTTTATCAAGAGCGAGTATTTTGTTCGGCTATTGATTAATAAGTGGCATTAAATGCAAATAACAGAGCTAGAAAATACACAGTTATATTGTAATTACATATACATATGCATGCATATTTTCGCATTCAAGCGCAGATGATTGATATTTGCGAGAACAACAGCACAAAAAGCTGTCATATTTTGCATGATTGGCTGCACGGAAGCAACCGACCGATCGATGGTGCAAGGATGCGATCGCATGCAAAGGTTTTTTGCAACCACTTAGGTGTACATACTATTGTTATATGTGTACATATTTATGTATGCATAATACCGCGCTTTCGTTAGTCTCTTTTAATGCATTCATCCATTCATAAATTCATAAATGTTGCAAATTGCAAACTGCACCACAGCAACTGCCAGCAGCAAGAGCAGGAAGAAATATGAATACAAAATATATATTTACTTTTATTTCTCGCATTCAGAATTTGCAAATTTTTGCGCCTATTAAACAAGAGCGAGAAGAGGAAGAAGTAGAGGATGCTGTTTACTTAGCTTTGCTGGCGGAAAGAAAATAAGAAGTCAGCGCAAAGAAACAGCTGGAGTTGCAGCTCATTTGAATCGAGCGAACGAACGGTCAGTGCACAATTTAGCGGGCAATATATTGTTTTTATTGTTGCATGTGTGTTCGGGCATGAATGGTAGCTTGTATGTATGTATGTGAATGCATTAGTTACCAAGTAGCCTACAGTGGTGTGTAAAAACGTGCAGTGGCATGACCAAATAAGGAGCTTATGGGTGAAAGAAAAAATTAAGACAACAAAGACAGTAGAAAAAAACACACTGCTGCTGTTATAACGCGTGCAGCCATTAAGGCAACGAGCAAACATTTTACATATATACATTTGTACATACACACAAGCAGTCATAACAACCAGCTTTAAGTCTCTCTAGCCAGTCCATCTCCTCAGCACCACTTACATACGCATTGTTACTATGCCGCATGTGCCGCATTGCAGCAACATAACGCATACACGCAATGTCATGCGCATGCAACGCGCCACAGCCGTTTGTCGTTTTGCCGTTGTGTAGCGCGCCGCGCTAAGCTGCCTCTGTAGATTGCCTTGACTCTTCTTCTGCGTGTGTCCCCATTTTAATGTATGTATGTATGTGCGCCAAAGTGTGCGCCGCCGCGTGTTGCGTTATGCAGTATTGTTGTTGTTGTTGCTGTTGTTGCTGTTGTTGGTGGCTATGGCATTGCGAGAGGGTTAAGGGGTGTTCGCGCTCATGTATGCTTGCGCAAGCTTGTCGTGTTTGCTGCTCAGCTTTTGCGATAACGTCAACAACAACTGGCGGAATGTTGCAGGCGAGCGAGATAGTGGCGCACCACTTGCTGCCACGTCAAGCCGCCTGCCAGCCGGTCTTGTAGCCTGCTGCATGCTGCAAGCTGTCTGTTGGTCATGGCCATAAGGATTAAGTCGGTAAATAAACAAGCAAACAAACGAACAAACAAACAAACAAACAAGCAGCTAAGCAGGCAGACAGACAAACGGACGGACGGCCAGGCAGGCAACTAGTCCGCTATCTGCAACTGCAACAAATTCACATGCAGCCACAAAAGAAGTTTACAGCTTTAATGAGTGGCTAGTTATTTTTATGGTAGTCGCTAAACGGAAATCACAATTGTTGCATGCGGCAAACAGCAAGGCGCAACGGCTGCGCGAGGTAAGTAGGTAAGGTAAAAGCAGCACAAAGAAACTCGTGGTAAACGGTAAAGTGTAATCGCGGCCTAACTGAATGCAAAATGCTAATACGCATATTTGTTGCAAGTTAGGCAAAGTGAGTTTGTTGAGTGCGTCGATTGAGAACGCAGCTGAGTGGCAGATAAGTAATATCTACTTTATAGACTTGATTGTGTTTGTTTTCTTTTATATTTTTTTGCAAGCTTGCACGCAATGCGCACATCAAATTTTTGTAATTGTGCGCATTTACACCTTAAACAACAACAATAATAACATAAAAGTAATGAAATTATGCAAAGCGTAGCAGTGGGAGCAGAAAGTTCGAGCTTACGGACATCGCCCGTTGACTATAAAACAGTCGGATTTGGTATTTTGCAGTAGTGTTGCAACATGTACATATACCAAGCTACTTCCGAAGACATATTTTTATTTCCGCTTCTATTTCTGTTACAGTATATTTCTTTTCCTTTTCACCTTCTCGAATTATTCTATCACCTTCAAGAAGGAACTCAACACTCTTCCGTCACCGGGTCGTTCTAAAATCAACAAATTAACACATGACTCACAACTGGAAAAAAAACCTTACAGTAAAGTGAAAAAATACAACAACTTCTACTCAACCCATCAACTAACCAACTAACCCCTAATAAATTTTGGCTTTTAATCAGCATTTTTTTCTATCTGAAAACAAACATGCATACAAAAGTGGGATACGCTCAAGCGCGCTCGTTTCATTAGGAACCCACTAATTTAACAATTTACACTTGAAGAACGCCCTCACCTCAAAACAGGAGAGTTGGCACTAAGGTACAAAGTCATAAAAAATTGACACACGCATGCCAAAAAAGACAGGAAAAAAACGTTGAACAAATAAAAGGTTCGCTAATTTCTTCAATGTACTTTCAAATTTCTTTATTTAGAAGAAAGAAGAACATAAAAACGAGAAATGGAGGGAGATCCATCGAAGTCGGCGTAATATTCACAGAAAGGCCAAAAGAAGACGAGAAATGTGAATGTAGAGCAAAAATAAAATAAAATTGGTTGGCGAAAGGAAAAAGAAAAAAATGTGAATAAAAAATCAAAAAAAAATTGTCGTTAATTGAATTAATGAGAGAGCGATTATATAATATTATGAAAATTAAACTTAGTAAATAATAAAAAAATTTTAATTTTAATTTTAATTTTAATTTTAATTTTAATTTTAATTTTAATTTTAATTTTAATTTTAATTTTAATTTTAATTTTAATTTTAATTTTAATTATATTTAAATTTAAATTAAAATATAAAGTTACAATTAAAGTTAGAATTAAAAATAAAATGAATTTTAAACGTTGTAATTAAATTAATATCTACTTACTCATAGATCGCATCCTTATCACGTTTATGTACTTCGGGTATTGCGCCCATTAAGTGATTAGCAACCGGTGATACATGACTAGGTGTACCGTGACCACCAGCGCCAGTATGGTAGCCATGCATGCCAACTGTTGCCGCCGCCGCAGCAGCGTGTGTCATGTGCGGTGAATGATGCGTGGGTAGGCCTTGTAATCCGGGCGGCCGATGTCCGACATGTGGATCGTACATGGCAGCTGCTGCAGCACCCGAGTCCATACCATAGCCATGCAGGCCATCGTCATACTGTTGGGTTAGAATGAAGTAAAAAATAAAATAATTAATATTTTATTGAGAGAATGTTTTAATACTTTTTTATTTATTTATTTTTTTCAAATATGATTACATTTTGTTTAGTAAGTTTAAAATGTAATAAAATTAATTAAATTATTACAAATGTAATGCGCAAGCGAATTTTTAATAATAAATCATTTTTCCCCTGCCTCTGGGTAGACAGTTGCTTTCGTGGAGTGGTATTGCCTTTTACGAGTAAAAATTTTTAAATAATAATGCAACAACAGTTGCTTATGCAGCAGAAAAAAAATAAAACAAGTAATTATTTCATTAATATTTGTTTTTTTTTTTACTAATTTTTATTTCATTTACGAGTTTTTACTCTATTTGGATTGACTGCGGTTTTTTAACACTAAATATAATTGTTGCTGTTGTTATGTTACTTACAGCTGCTGCATGCAGTATATTCACACATTTCGGCTGCGTCATTGTTAGCGTTAAAATTGCTGTTAATTAAAATTAATTGCAAAATAATCTCAGCAATTTTAATTGGCAGTCAGCTTATAAGCCAAAGCCATGAGTCTAACGTGCAATATTTTTTCCTCTTCGTTTTTGATTGTAAGTAAAATCTCAAAGTCGAAATCAAGCGCGGATGCGTCGAACTGCAGAATGTATATACATACATAAATACGAGTACATATGTACATGCATGTGTACATACTTATGTCAGCAACAATAAATGCTTTTCTGTCTTAAAAACTTAATCGTTATGGGGCGAGTCTGCTGTATTATATATATTTCAATGTTTTATGAGGGGGTGGCGTGAGGTTAGAAACAAGTTGTCAGCTATAATTTGATTTTTTTTTTTTCATAAATGCAAAATTAGATGTTTTGATGAATTACAGGTTTCCTACCACTCTGAAATGACAATGACTTTCGTGCGGTTTATTATAATTATTTTTATTATACTTTTTCTTAATTTTTGTTTTCTACTTTGCAACCGGTTCAATATTATAATATATTTATATTTATTCCCTACTTTTGCCAATGCACTATAATATTGAATTTCATTTTATCTGCATGTCACTTGCCATAAAATAGTTTGATAAATATTTTATGGCACATTTAATAGCTCAATAATGTCAACCACACAGCGGTTAATTAACACCAGCGTTGAGCATAGACGTCAGCTGTTTTTTTTTATGTATACCAATGTACATATGTATGTACATATATACTCGTGTAATAGTCAGTATGCTACGGTGAAGCTATTAAATTGTCGTAAATCACTGGGAGTTACTACGTAAGGGAAAAATTGCAGAAAAAAGCAAAAACTTGTCGCGAAAATCTTGTCAGCACATGAGATTATTGAACGGAATTGCCCTTTAGGTGTAATGTAAAATAACTTATGTAACTATATTTGAGTAAAACTTGATAAAGAGGTTTACTTGGAAGATAGTAAGTACAAAATAAGTACAAATTTTAAAATTAATCTTATTTTAATTTTTATCTCTTAGTTTGTTCCATTTTAACTTACTAATTAATTTATTTAATATTTTATATTGCTTTATTTTATCTTATTTAAGTTCATTTTATTTTATTTTATATTTTTATTTTTTTATTTAATTTTTTTTTATTTCATTTTATTTTATATTATTTTATATTTTATATTTTATTTTATTTGATTTTTATTTTCTTTTATTTATTTATATTATTTTACATAAATATTTTTTTTTTCATTTTGCGTTTTTTTTTATTTTTTTAATATTTTTATTTATTTTCTTTATTCAGATTTATTCCCATCGCACTTTATTTTGCTGCAAATTTGTAATTTTTTACATCGAGTACAGGTCACTTTCATTTTGAAAGAATATTGGCATTGCCTTGCTCGAATTTTTATTGTTTATTTGCAGTTACTTTTATGGCGTTACGCTTTCGCTGCATCTTCTGCTGCTGGCGACAACCACTTTAATGCTTGACCTTGTAAATCTCGCTGCAAACAAATTTTTTTGTCTTTTTTTTTAAACAATCGCTTCAAAAACGCCAACACATGCCTGGAATAAAGATGAACTTGCTAAAAATTATAAAAAAAAAAAATATAAAACAAAAATCAAAAAGAGTACAGAGCTCCACAAGCGTACAGCAATAATAAAAATCACTTGGCCGTTGCACGCATTTTGCATACGAAATGGACGGACGCCTTAAACGCCAAGCGAAGACGCGCTATGAAATTACTTTGTATAGCAATGTGACAATGGTTGTTGTTGTTTTTGTTACTGTATGGCTCCAATGGAAATGTGACGCGCCACAAAAAAGCGATGTAATGAAATTATATCGCCTTTTCAAGATCTCTCTGTGTAGTGTTAAAACTTTTGTAAGACATTACAAAATTTAACGCCACGCTCACCTGACAACCAGACACATACAGACATACTGACATATGTATCATCAACAGCGCCATGCATGCGCCTCAAATTTCATTACATGCCAAACACCGAAAAAAAAAGATGTGAACGGGTGGGTGGCTGTCTGGCGGTGTTCGTGAAGTTTGAGCTGAGTTCCTTGTAAAAAGCACATTCAACAAGTTTTGAGATGAAGTTTTATTTGTTTGTTAGTATGTTTTACTATTTTTATTATAAAGTTTACGCCCTTTCCCCCTTTTCTTTGTTACATTTCCATTGAGATTTTGTCAAAAATCCACAACACAAAGTCTGAGGACACTAAACGAGGCTTGTGAATCGTGAAAAGAAAGATTTTTATCACACACAATCTCTTTCTCACCACATACACTAGTAAACACACACACACACGCGCGCGTATGTATGTATGTACCTACATGCTTTCGACTGACTACCAGCAAACCGACTGTGGCATATTTCGCACTGAATATTTTATGCTTAACTTGTTGTTGCTGGTGTTTTTTTTTTGATGAATTTCTCCTTGTTGTTGTAGCAGGATTTTAATAAGCGACAATTGAATGAGACAAAATTGTTATGGTGTACTGTGGGAAGCTGAGAGCTGCCAACTGCAAACTGCGAACTGGGAATCTGCCAACAGCCAGCTGATCTCTCCACTCTTATCAGCGGCACAAAATCGCACTGAGTGAGAAAGAATGCTTGGCAAAGTCAACAGTCAAGCAGGTTGGCTGAAATGAGCAATTGACAGTTGGTGTAAATGTCAAATTGGACAAGTACGTATTTATATCTCTACGTATACGTATATTATATTATTTATATATATGTATAAATATACGTATACGTAGATATATACTAGCATGCAGCTGTAGTAAGGAAGTGTCAATCGGGCAGCACATGGAGAGAGGGTTCAATCTCTGATGTGGATGAGCGTGAGCACTACAGGTATTATATACATATGTACATATCAGATCAGTCACACGAATGAGGCGTACAAGTGTATGGATTATCAATGGCATTCTCATCAGCAACAACAGATACAATAATAATGAGTACAACATTGACAGACAATCAGCCAGCAGCCATCAGCCATCAGCCATCGTCAACCATCAGAAATGAGCCACCAACAGCAAACATACACGTACCGACCAACTCTCAATACGCATGAAATGAGGTTAAATGATTGTGTTTGCTGTTCGGCAAAAGAGGGCTGGCAAATGAGATGCGATGGTGAGTGGGAGATAAGCAGAAAGCGTGGTGTTGGCTGGTGTGGAGCAGCAAATAAGAGGAAAAGTTAGAAGTGTGGCATGCTGCTACTTGGTATGGTTGGATTTGTTATTTTTTTTTTTTTTTTTTTTTGCAAAGTGGAAAGTTAAGAGGAGCATAAGTACCTCTTCAATTTTAATTACTAAAATTCATACACTCATGCATGTGTGCTTACATGAAAAGAAAATAACTTATGATAGCATGGCTACTTGATTAAAAATAGATTTCTGATTAAAATTATATTAATTTAAAAAAACTTATAAGAAAAAAACTTTTTAGATAAAAGGCTAAATATAGATACATGAAATATTTTTTCTGGACCACTATACAAATAAAAAAATAAAACTCTAATTTATTAACTTTACAAAATTATTAATTACGATTATTACTTCAAAAGTATTAAAAATCAATATATATTTATATAAAAAAAAATATTACTAAACTATTAGTTAAAGGAACATTAAATGAAAAATAAGAAAACATATTTCCAAACCCATTTCATGAAAAAACCCCGATTAAATAATTAAAAAAATTTAAAATATTTCAAAACGCATTTCGTGTAAAAAACGAGTTATTAAAGTTTATGTAATAAAAATTTAGTATTTAAAAATTTTTAAATCAACCATATTAAATATAAATATTTTCATTGAATTTATATTTAATATGGTTGATTTAAAAATTTTTTAACACTAAATTTGATTATTTATATTGAAAAATGTTTTAAATATATTTTCTGGTATAAACAACTTCAATTAATGAACTTAATTTTTTATATCTTGTCATTATTAATTTTCATTTCCAAAAAGTATTAAATAAAAAATACAAAGCTTTCTGCGTTTTAATTTGCTTTAAATTTTATTCATTTTGTATAATTTTGATTAAAAAAAATATATATAGTAATTTTGTATACAGCAAACCATGTTTATTAAAAAAGCAATAACAAATTAAATTTTTTCATAACTAAAATTTCAAAAACACATAGTTTGAAAACCCCTAAATCGCATAAATAAAATAAAATAAATAATAAAATACAACCAAATAAATATGCGCTAAAATTAAACTTAGAAAATATCCATTGAATGCAAGGCTTGAAAAAAACTGTTCCCCAAACCAAACTAAATAAATCGCAAAAGCCTAAAAACAAACCAACTGCTCCGACACAACACCTGCGCACACACGGTGATACGAGAAAAAAACCCCTACACAACCAACAAATCAAGCTGATGAGCGCGCAAACCTTGAAGCAAACAATAAATGACGACAACAATGGAAAAGAGTAAAACCAAACTGCTGCGAGGGCAACAAAGGCTTGCCACAATACCCCAACACATA